CAAATCAAGATGAATCCCTTCAGAGAGTGAACTAGGATAATACCTGCTCCACAGAGAGAGATTGTAAGAAGTCTTTCTTGCGCTGGCCTCCTTGGCTCTTGATGGAATGAAAAAAATAAAAGGAAAAAATATTCCCTGAGAATACTGAACCATAGGCATGTGTGGCAGAAAAAACTCCAAGCCAGAAATTTGGGTCAAAGTGGTGTTGAAATAGCAGTGCCCCAGGCAACTGGCAGTAGTAAATACAAATCGTTTGTGGGGGAACATATTCTAAACAAAGATAAATTTCCAAGGAACACGAACTCATAGCCAAAGATTACATAACACACAGGAAACCAGCCACCATGAGAGAGAAATAAGCAGACATCACAAACTGCAGGAACAAATGTACAGACTGTAGATATTAGAATTACCAGAAACAGAGTATAAAATAAAGAAGTTCAATTTATTTAATGACATTGAGGAAGATGTTGGAAGCATGACTAAGGAGCAAGAGACCATTGAAACTGACAAGGCAGTTTTTAAAAGAACTACATAGAGTTTTTTAGATTGAAAAATGTAATAATAATGAAAACTACAAATTCAAAAGACTGGTAAAGGATAACAGATTATACATAAATGAAGAGAGAATTAGTGAACTGGAAAGTAAAACTAAAGAAATTACTCAGAATGCAGCCTGAAGAATGAAGAAGAAATAGTTAATATTCACAGAGTAATTCCTATGTGCCACATACTGAGATGTGCTGTATATACTTTATTTTATTTAATCATTATAGAAAACATATGAGGTTGTTACTATTAATATCTATATTTTGTCTAACCTTTCTGTGCCTTATTTTTCCCATGTATAAAGTGAGGATAGGAGTGGGAGAAAAGATTCACAATTCTAAAGTAGAAAAATTTTTGAAAACTGAAAATTTCTTAAAAATAATTTGGTGGCAAAACCTTACTCAAACTGATATAATACTGTGGTATTGTATTAGTTTCCTGTTGCCGCTGTAACAAATTACAACAAACCTAGTGGCTTAACACGACACGAATTTATTACCCTAATAGTTTTGGCAGTCAGAAGCACAAAATGGCTCAGCAATGCTGATATCCTTCTTCGGCCTCTGAGTTCTTCTGGTGAATCTCTTTCCTTGTCACCTTCCCCAGCTTCTAGAGGCTGCTTGCTTTCCTTAGTTGGTGGTCACAACATTCTGCTCACTGCTTCTGTTGTCACATCTTCTCAGGCTCTATCTCTCCTTTCTAATGATTCCATTGAGCTCACCTGGATATTTCAGGGCACTCTCCCCATCTCAAGATCCTGACCTTAATCATACCTGCAAAGTCCCTTCTGCTGTGTAAGGTAAGATAGTCACAGGTTCCGGGTGCTAGGACAGGGATGTCTTTGGGCGGGGTGGGGGGGGGCATTATTCTGCTGATCACAAGTATGAACATTCATACATTTTGCTGCCTAGTTCTGCTTTCTTCTTACGCGCTGCAGGTATAACGTATGGTGCTTATGCTCTATTAACTTGTAAATTCTGAAAAAATTTGAATTCAGTAACATCTGGCTCCAAGAGTTTGGACAAGGATTGTGGACCTGTAATAGAGGCAGTTCTCACTTGAGCTGAGATCAAGTCTCAGGCTGCCGCTTTCTAATTGGATCACATTTGGTTTAAATGCAATACGAAGATCTGTAAAATGCTCGGTACAGTGTTTGACACATAGCGAATGTGCCTGCTTTGCTGCCGGCTGCTCGCAGCATCTGCCCTGCTCACTGTCTGTGCTCCCAGCAGCTCTCCGCAGAGCAAGCATCCACAGTCACTGCTAAGGTCAAGAACTTCTCTTAGCACCCTGCTGAGATACATTTAGGCAGAGCCTAGAAAGGGGAGCACTCAAGAGGAGGAGCCAAGGGAGATGTTAGAGTGTCATGTTTGGGGAGCTCTATCAAGGAAGAATCAGCATTTTCTGTTGGAGAACAGGGTGAGGACGCTCCAGGAAAAAAATAACTCGGACACAGGTATGGCTCAAGACAAGGCCTAAAAATAGTCATTTTACTTCTTCTCAGCTGGAAGAACTGTGTATATTTTCTACTATAATTTTGGGTTTCTGTAGTGGAAAACTTAAAATTAATGAGTCAATCAGCTTGTATGAAGAGCTTTAGATAGAAATGTACCCAGCTTTTGACCTAGCATTTAAGCATTTAAGAAATAATGAGGGGCAGGCAAAAATTTACAACTTATAAGAAAAAAGTTGATAGAGAAAGAAGGGAAAAAATAGACCAATTATTCTTAAAGACTTTTTCAAGGCTTGTTTCCACTGGGGCATTTAATCATTCCAATATTCTTCTGTGCAGTGGGGTGGGCAGGGAGCAAGGGCAAAACCATCGCTTCTTTTGCGTTGCTATGGCAAGGGTGCTTTCAACCGTTTTTTCTTTACCCCTGGAGGGAAGTCAGCTCTGCCTTACGAAAACTGATGGCAGGCTCTAGAAGGCAAATGAGAGGTGAGCTGATATAATAGTGCATGTTGTTCAATCTGCAACCACTAGGGTTAACGGAAAACCTTCAGATTAGCTCTTGAAGGGAGAGAATAAAGGGAGGGGAAAAAGAGCAGTTGGTTGTCATTTCAGTTAGAAAATTGAACAAGAGTTTCAGTTTTTCAAAAGGCACACCCCCACGAAGCAAAGCTGCTTTCCGGATGGCCAGATCTGAAATAGCATGTCCCCCGGCCCGTTGGTCTGGAGACACACTTCAGATCAAGTCTCTGCAGGAAAGCTTATTCTGGCAACCGGCAAATCAAGCTCTTGCTCGATGTCAGATTACATGAATAACTAACACATGTTCAGAGCTTTACAGTTAGGTTTATTAGTTTATCAGTATCTCTGTTTTGTTGATTTCCACAAGATTACACAGTTGGTCAGACCTGGGGATTAATTCTTCTGTCTGAGGCCAAATCGTATGTTTTTCCTACCACATCGTGTATCACATGGTCAGGAATATGGTGCAGGACTCTGAATCTTCTGGAGGACAGTGCTTCCCAAACCTGACTACTTAATAAATCTCCCCAGAGGTATCTGAAATATAGATTCCTGGGCCTCACCCTTAGAGATTCTGACTCAGAGTGGTGTTTGTAAATCTATATTTTAAAATGATTGCTTGAGGGTCTGATGTACAGCCAGATTTGGGATCTGTTGCTTTGTTAAATCAAAGACCAGTGCTACAATTTTCACCTAACACTTTTAGAGTTTAGATTATGGAGACTGAAATCAGTGTGTTTTAGATCAGTGGTTTGTAAACTTTCAGAACCACCTTACCTTTTAAGAACTTGTTGAAATCTATAGATGGATCTTTTCCTAACACATACACACAGAGGGAGAGAGAGAGACAGAGAGAGAGAGAGAGAGAGACAGACAGACAGACAGACAGAGACAGAGACAGAGAGACAGAGACAGAGAGACAGAGACAGACAACTGAGCCCCAATTCCCAGAGCTTCTGATTTAGCAGGTTTGGAGTGTGACCTGCTGATCTGCAGTTCCAGCATCTTCCCAGGTGATGTTGGTGATGCTGATGCGGGACCCGCATTTAGGAACCAGTGGTGTAGGAGACCAGGTGAGCCTAATATGGAGGGGTACTCTGCTCGCTCCCACGTGGCGACTGCTGTTATCAACAGCAGCTGACATTTACTGAGCGCTTGCCTCAGGTTATCGCACAGTGGGTGAAGGGGCAGCAGATGGGCAGGGCTAGAATAGAAACTCGATTCATCTCCCGTCTTCCTTTGGTCGTCGGTGTGCGTGTGAGATTGAGAGGGAACAAGAGACACGGACAGAAACCCAGCAGGGCGGGCAGAACACGCAGCTGCGGAGAGCGTTAGGGTCGCCTTCTGACCCGAGCGCCCAGGGCGCGGCGGGGAGGTGGGGAGGCCAGAGACGCCTGGCGGGTCGCGGGCTCTCTCTGGCCCAGGGAGGGGCGTGAGGGGCTCGCGG